AGCATGACAAGGGTGCATTAGTTTTTCATTAGTATAATATTACTTTTACAATTTAGTAACAAAATCCAATTAAACTAATTAAATAATTGGTTTTATATTGTAAACTTTTATAAATGTTACATAGATAATAGTTGTAATTTCATACTATAGGTTGAGTGAATAATATTTTACTATAAAACTAAGTTACAATCATTTAGAATAACCAAATATCTATTTAGAATGCAATCAGAAAAATAGTTATCTCTATTAGGAGACCAAAAAATAGTATCATTCTCTGAATGTAATGCTAATTTCCATTATTTGGAAGTCCTATGTTACAATTTTTATTGTTGCCTAATGTTTCTGTAGACCACATTTTATATTTACCAATATATAAAATAAGATTATAATTAAAATTCAAAAATAATATTACTTTTCTGTTTGGAAAAGCTAAAAAAAGTTATGTACTTAAATATTAGTAGGGCCTATTGGCATACTAATAAAAACAAAGCACTGGTCATTATTTATAAATCGAGCCTTTTAGTTGGACTATGTTGAGATGGTACAACTTAATAGTTTATAAATTTTTTATAATTGTACTGAGAGATGAATCTGAAGTAATTAGTAAACCGGAATAAATATTAACTGAATTTTGTAATTCATATTTTATAATATCTCAACTGTCTCTAATTTACATTCTCTAGATGTTGTACCAGCATAGGCAATAAATATGTGATTGTGCATGCTTGCATTATATATTTACATGCAGATTTATTTTTTTGTTTTGAGTTGTATGCAAAAATATTATGCATATAATTTCTTTTTAATTGCTATATAAACAATTGAAACTTGATTGTGTATATGATATTTTTGTCATGGGATATGCCATATATGCATAGGGTATGACATCTTAAACTGTCATGGAACATATCATATTAGATAACATGGTATTACAGGATATTTTTTTAGTTTCATTCTCATGTTATAGATTTATAATATTTTAGTTGTTATTGAGTGGAGATTTATAATCTTTTAATTGTGATCATCTTTCTCCACTCATTTTGCTCTCTCATATTTTTGCGGCTTATTTGCAGTGGAGCACCCTAATCTAGGTAGCGATTGATTGACATGAACAATCAATCATGAGAAATTGACTGATTGATAACATGGTATTATAGAGTATTTTTTTATTTTCATTCTTGTGTCATAGATTTATAATATTTTAATTGTCATTGATTGTAGATTTATAATATCTTAATTGTGATCATCTTTCTCCTCTCATTTTGCTCTCTCATATTTTTTCAGCTTATTTGTAGTGGAGCACCATAATCTAGGTAGCCATTGATTGACATGAAAGAAAATGAAATCAATTAGGGAAAGAAAAACATTTCTTTAAGTGCTTAGGTTTTTGATATGGTAGTTTTTCTATAACCAAGTAGATTTTGTTGTAGCCAAGGTAATCCATTAACTTGATTGATTTCTCACATTTTTAGTCACACATTTAAATTTTTTACATTGTAGTGGTTTCTTATGTTTGAGTATGTTACATAGCCTTTCTTTCTTAGGCATGTTGCAAATCAATTCATGTGTTGAAAAATATCATACTTATAAGCTCTAATCCAAAGTCTAAACTTTGCTGACAATTAAAAATATTTGCTATAGAATTGAAATTTATGTAGTACAAAAAATTGCACACGTGGAATTGATATGTCCTTTACCATGCATGTGTAGTAGGCATCCTATACATTATAAAAGGCCTTTCTTTTTGTGAGTCACATATATATATTACAGCATATATTTTAAACTTCTGCCAAATTGCCAACCCCATTCATGTACATCTTCTTTTACTCCCCCAAATTACAAGCATAAATTGCTTGCCATACCATAGTGTTATTAAAAATTCAACAATTAACAGTAATAATAAACACTATTTCTTATCTGAATATCATTACTTACATCTTAATCATCTAAATGATCCCTCATTTCTTCTTAATACATTTTTATCATATCAAACAAATTCATTAAAGAAATATTTATATATTTTATTTAATACTTTAAGTCCTATTTTACATGACACTTTCAACATGAATCAGTCAATTCGTTTAAGTTGAACAAACTGTAATTCATTTCCATTGGAAAGCTCTTGCATACCTCCAGTAGCTCAGTTGGTCCATGTCAATTGAGAACCCCGCACCCTTGAGCCCAATTTTGACACGCCCGAAATAGTACCTTGCATCAGCCAAGTTCCATAAAAAAAATGAAACAGAACTACTACAAAGAAAATCACGTACTTCTTCTCCAATGGACTTTTCATCGGCCTCAAATTCAGGTTCCACAACATCCTCAGCTCCAACATCGATCGCGGCAGCCTGAAAACTTTCCGAATCCACATTGCCTTCACATCTTGGCATGGCTCTTTTTGATAACATCGCGAACGAACAAAGCTCTGTTCGTGTTGTCCGTGAGAACTTCCACCACGATTCCAACACCACCAAAGCCGTATGCCTGGATTGGTTTTAACTCTTTTGCAGCGCAAACAAAACGCAATGTGAGTTACCTCAGAAGTCCTGCTGGTGTCTTTTGCTTTCTTGATGTTGCGTTCTATGAGACCTTCGCTTTCTGCACCAGTGTTGCCAATGTTAAATTCCGTCCCTCGCCCTGAAAAACCGATCCAATTAGCAACAAGCGAGAGAAAAAATCACAAATGCGGTACGCTTGCACTATCTCTTTGCCAAGCCTGGCATTAACTTTGTTTCTCTTCAAGCCTGTGCCGCCTGCAGCACTGCCGATTACATTAGAAGCTTCAGACGACAAAGAAAACGCTAACCTTTCTGTCCACAATCTTGCACGCTCGCCTTCCCATTTCCAGAGGAGCAGAGGTCCATAGATGAAAACAACTCGCGTTTCCCGCGTGCTGCCATGACGAACGTTTCCGCGATGTGCTCTCACAACTGACTTCATTTGCAAAACTCTAAAACCCTAGAGATCGATATTCACCTGAGAAGGAAGCATTAACTACAACAACAAAGAAAAACTATAGAACACATACAATCTTACGCTGTACAAGCTTCGGTGTCTTCACATCAAAGTTGCCAGGCCAACAAGCCCTGGACCATCGTCCTCTTTCACTCCCGGTTTCCCTTTCGC